TTCTGTTTCTAACACTGTGAAAGTGTCATCCACATATCTTCACCATATTTTTGGCTTAGGATTAAATGTGTTTAGAGCAATATCTTCCCAAATGTCCATAGAGATATCTGCTACGTAAAGGGGATATTGGTGATCCCATCGCTACACCATCTGTTTGTTTATTTATTTTGCCCTGGAATTTAAATACAGTAAATGTGAAGCATAACTGAATTCCTAAAATAATTTTCTCAGTGAGCAGCTTCGTCTTTTAACTGAGTTCGGGATCAGAAGTTAGTTCCCTTGTAACTGCTTCTAAGGTCATACTGATTGGTATGTTAGTGTACAGAGTAGTTTTATCAAAACTGATCATTTTGACTATAAAAAAATCTTATTTCCTATCTGATTGTATTTGGTCAATAAAACTCACATTATTATTTCTGAATGTACATTATCCTATATTAATTTTTATTCAAATGTCTGATGAATTCCACTCATGTATATAGATGAAGTAAAAAGTTGTGTGAGTGACTTGATATGATTATGAGCAATAGTTTTTGCTTGAAACGTTATCAGTTAATATTACTGTATAACACTGTGTGATTTATCGAGATAAAATCTTATCCATAATGGAGTTATGCTCTACCACAGTGCCCTAGTTTTATACTTGTATAAGTAACTTAAAGGTTTACCTTTCATACAACTTTCGTTGACGAACATTAATATTCGTGTGAACAGTCGGCTGAAGTCAGCTTATCGCATATAGAAAATCCCATTTATTCAGAACTTTCATTTTGTTGCTCCTCAGCCTAAATAGGAAGCTACTGCAGTTAATCATAGAATACGCTACAATACCCTACATAGCACAAAACTTGCATACAGAAAAAACCGCTAAAAATTTTATTGTTAACAAATAAATAGCTGCCCTAATTTTACGAAAAGTCATGTTTTATAATCTGCATAATTAATTATTCAGTCTTTAAGTTTATTTAGTAGATGATTTTACGAATGTTATAATTGTAATAATAATTATCGAAAGTTACATAGTATGACTGGAAAATTTATTCAGAATAAGGTGATTAATACTACAATGTGAACTCTCTATCCTCTACAACTGAAGTTCTTTAAATTCAACGTCCATAGATACTTTAAAATGTTACATTTCATACATTGTTTTTAGATTTTAAATCAATTTAGACATCATTAATCATGTTGGTGAAAATACTGTTGCCACAGTTATAGTTTATTTTGATGACGTGATTAACACCTGCTGGGTAGCTAGCTAGTGTTATGATTAACTATGATTAGTTAAGTATCATTCGTTTGCATGACAGCGGATCATTCATTACTTATGGGGATTTCAGTGAAACGATTTTCTGGTTAGTGTTCACTCAGTTGGTATAGTGCCACTAGTTAGAATCCTGCTATCACCTAGATTTTCATTTCATCCATAAGTGATAGCAGTCTGTTTAAATCATTGGACTGCATCATTTTCTGCGATGAAAAGTGCATCAAATTTAAACAGTTATCCTTTACTTTAGCCTAATATTTACGTCTTAAAAAGCATTCTGTAGTCCCGTGCATTTTTGAATGGATTTCAACAGACCGCTTAGCCTGTTTTGAGGGGACGAATACATCGGAGTTCGGAGCATGTTTCAGATAGAACTTGAATCCCGTATCTTTTCATCTCTATTGCAATCTGGGCAGCTTTGCCAATCTCGTACATGGTGCGGACGTTCCATGTCCCTACACAGACTTTTTCTTTTGGCGCAAGGAGATTCATCGTGCTGAAGTTTCTGTAGCAACTTTGTTTACAGGATGGGGTTGCTAGCCTCACGCCTAAGAAGGGGATTGTTACATTAAAATATAGTTTACAGAGAAGCGACCTTGTGGGTTGCTCCTCTTAAAACCAGGAAAACAAGGAATAAAACAATCAGAACAACACCAGCAAAAGGAAAATAATTCACAACAGGAAGGGCAACAAGCGACAACAACAATAAAAAAAGAAAACGTAAGCAATAGTATCACAGTCAGATAAAGTTAACAAAAATGATACCAAAATCATAGGCACACAGACTTGAGCCAACTTGAACATGTAAATCCATCAATATATACAATTATAATTACATTTATAGATATTAGTTAGTGTTAGTCAGTTCCAAAATGGCAATCAGATAGTTATAGGTATTATCCAACAACAAGATTATATCCACAGATTCAGTGTTTGAAAAGCGAATAGTTACACTACTTTCCGAAAGTTCTTGGCAAGAAATTCCACAGAAATAAGAGTTTTATGATACTACGTGAATGTAGCGTAGTAATCGAAAAGCGCGTCAAGGTCAGATAGAACTAAATTCTGTTGAATGATACACTGTAGATTATGGTTTAACAAAAAGATTTTGTTTGAAGAGTAGATAAAACCACGCTGAAAATTCTGTACTGTATATTAACATGCCCAGAGTAAAGCTACAGTTATTATTGTTATTATTACCAATTTAAACACTATCTCATGTAGTCTAACTACCAATTAATAATAATTTAGTAAATATCTGAGCAGTTCTTCAACAGAGATTCTTGGAATATTCTTAAGACTGTCTAATAATTTTAATTACTAACATCGATAATTTTATTCTAAAATACTGACATCTGCTTAAGGGAAGGTGACAAAGTATTTCGAAGTTTACCACTGTGAAGAATGCCTATTTATACTGGAAACTACACACAATAAGGCGTGGATGTGTAGTTTTCAGGGTACTATAAGTTTCGAATTAAGCTCACAAAGTGAACTTCTAAACCATCTAAAGTTTGTCCTTTCTTCACCTTAATTTATGCGATTTAGTAAGTTAAGAACTCTAATTTACGATATTCTGTTAAAGAAACTACAAGAGAGATTTACAGTGTGGAGAATGGATTAAACATAGTTAAATGAGCTAGTGTTAGTGGTCAGTTTAAGGTGATAATTACTGACTGCCTACTGTGTATTTCTGTGCAAAGACATTGCACTATAGGAGGAATAAAAAATTAGGCACAAAATTACTTTGACAAGCACAACAGGCTTTTATTTTTGCCATAAATGAATCTGATGAAATAAATTATAATTATATATTTCAATAGCTGATGAACTTGCATCAGTGTGTGGATAAAATCTTGTTGGATTATTATTATTGTTTCCTTTAATTCCTAGAGGAACATAGAGCTTCAGCTGTGCGTCTCCATTGCGTTCGGTTCTCTGCTAGAGTCTTCACCTGGCTCCATGTCTGCCCACATGTTTTCATCTCCTCTTCACATGACCTCCTCCAAGTCACCCTTGCACTGACGACCAACTCGCCACTTCCCTTTCGGGTTCCACTCGAGCAATGGCTTGTCTAGTGATGTCACTTGATGGTTTCCTCAGAGTATGGCCAATCCATCTCCATTTCTTCCTGCCTATTTGTTTCACAATCGGTTCCTGCTGTGTTGGTTCGCTCATTGCCAGAGATCCCTTTCTGTTGCTGATCTTTTCTGGCTGGCCATCTGATCTTGAGTATTGAGCGAAGACAACTGTTAATGAAGGTCTGTAGTTTGTTGAGATGCTCTATATGACGCGCTGGCCAAGTCTCTGATCCGTAAAGTAGCACTGACTTCACATTGGAGTTGAAAATCCGGATCTTATTTTTGATGCTGAGTGTTGTTGACCTCCACACAGACTTGGGAGTAGTGAAAGCTTGTCTTGCTTTTCCGATTCTTGCTTTGATATCCTCGTCAGTTCCGTCCGCCTGTAGTTGAGACGATGCTTCCCAGGTAGATAGGTAAAAGAGGTTGTTTCTTTCAGGTTCCTCCCATTTATGCTGATTGTTGTCAGTTGTTGTTGTTGCTGTTGGTGGTGTTGGCCAGGAATCTTCATCACCTCTGTTTTCTCTATGTTCACCTGAAGTCCTATCTTTGATGCTTCTTCTGCCAACTTGTTGCTTTTCGCTTGCATATCTTCCAGTTTGTGGGAAATCAGACATATATCATCGGCGAAGTCCAGATCCTCCAAGTTTTTTGTGTGAGTCCATTTTATGCCTGTTTCCTCATTGCCCACTGTTTGTCGCATTATCCAGTCTACTACAATCAGGAAAATCATTGGCGATAGTAGGCAGCCAGCTTGTCTCACTCCTGTCCTCACTTCGAAGGATTCCGTAAGTTTCCCGTTGTGGATTACTTGGCATGCAGCATTGTCGTACAACTGTTGGATGAGATGTATTGTTGTCGGTGGCACCCCATAGTAGCGAAGTAGTTTCCAAATCACCTCTTGGATTATTGAATGTATATTGTATATCATTTGGTGAGTGACTAATAGGTAAATTTCTATTTATTACGGAGTTTTTCTCAATGTATCCGTATGTTAAAATGTTGACTTGGAATTTCTAGTTTCCTTACACATTCAACTTAACACACTGACTGAGTGCTGACTCGTTTAACTTCAGTTGATTTGGCTAAAAGTCAAAACTAGCGGTATTTTGAACAATACTACGACAGTTATTCATAAAATTTTTATATTAATCATTTACATGAAAGCTACGAATATTTAAAAAAAATACAGTTTGGCTGAAATTTGATTTTTAACAGTCTTTCTATAAGTTAATATAAGTTTCTACAAATAGAATACATTTCGTAGGGTGCAGCAGGTCGGGTTTAAGGACAAATACTCGCCACGGATGACACTGGCTAGCGGACGAACTACGTCGTGAATTGGCAGAAGTTGGAATTCATGGGCCATTGGATCAGGTTCTAGTGGCTCAATGGTCTACGAGCACGCTAGCCTTGTAACCAGGTGGTCCTAGGTTCAAACCCCTGTGGAGGGTGCGTACTGATGAAGAGTCCCGAATTCCCTGTTGGTTTTCCAATGGTTCTCTAACCGGTGTCAGCTCATGATGAAACCCTCTAACCAACCAATCAAATCTCTACAAACCAATACTAGAATACGTTTCCTAGTGTTTCAAGGTTATCTCTTTGACTTCATCCTACTAATCCATTTTTTTCTTAACTTGAATTCTCTTCAGAATGTCAAGGATGTGAAGATTTAAATCACAAACACAAAATCAACAAAAGCGATGACTTTCAAAACTCAACAAACCCACGTAAACTGGAGGATGCAGATTCACAAATCACATGTAACCATTTGAATCATACTTCTTTACTGTCAATTTATTCAAACTGTGATAAACAGCTAACTTCATGTAATATAAACGATGTATTCAATAGATGTTGTAATCCTTTGAATTTTCACAACATGTGGAACTCGAAATTCTTTCTACTAACAACTGATGTAAATTCCATTGTTCAGTTGATGATACATATTACGAAGTTATTTGTGAATAATGAAGAATCATGGTCTGAAATGTTAACTACGATACAAAATGTGATCCTGTCATCAGGTAAGAATTAGTAATTTAAACTTTATTGAAAATAAAACTGATGTATATTTTTCTGGGACAGTTTGTTAAAAATAGCTAAGGTGAGATAATGATGATATGACTTTCATCAGAGCTAAATCCCTTTTTTGGCGTCGGTGGTGTGACAGTAGAATGCTTGCCAAGCATGTATGTGGTTTGGAATTCGATCATTGGTCGGCACACTCTTAAACCTCGTTTAGCCGTCAGCAAACCAGGTAAACTGAGGGAAAGTTAGGCGCACAACTGGTAAGCACATGCCATAAAAATTCAACACCACTTCTACTGAAACTTCTAAGCTTAAGCTTGAAGCCCTTTGTTCCACTTAGAATGTAGGGGGATTAACTAATAATAAAAATATCATTTTTCTAATATCATTGATGAACTCTCGGATAATTTTATTTAAATTGCCTACATGATAGATCATTCACTGTTAAACTTCTTATTAGTCAAGGTGAACAGTTATGCAATGTAAGAAACCAACTGTTGGTGTTCGACAGAAAAAGCATTTTGCAATTAATAGTGTTCTCTGAGCTGGTTGGTTTAGTTGCGGAGCTTTCGTCGTCCTTCTGGACACCCCCTTCAGAGCACTATTTAGCACAAAGTGAAATGATTTAAATTTCTTCATGAGTGATATAATTGCGTCTCCTGGTAACTATCTTTACATATGTATTGACCATTTTCTATTGACTTGGATTTTAAACTTTCTGGTCACCTGATTTACTTTTTATTAGTTGGTATATTTCGTCTATATTAACGTGCTTGTTAATTGCATTTTCGTTTGAGTACCAGGCTTCTAGGAATTCCCTGGCACTTTTAGTGTTTCCTCTGTCTAAGATTTTGACATTATCCCAATCAAATTGATGACCATAATTGTTTATATGCATTGATACTAAAGAATACATATTGTGTCTTTTCACGGCTGATTTGTGTTCTTGGATTCTGATTCGAAGGGGACGCCCACTTTGGCCGATGTAATGCTTGTTGCAGTTCATACAATTTATTTTGTAAATGGTATTAATTTTATCCCCTTTTTCTGTTGGATCTTTTGGTTTGCATAATATCGAATTAAGCGATTTGACTGGCTTGTGTGCTATATCTATATCAAACGGTTTCAGTATTCTAGCTGTTATTTCAGAGATATTTCTCATGTATGGTAGAATGAATTTTCTTGTGGTCTTTGATGATGGTTTCTTGTTGGTGTTTCGATTCGACTTTAAACACTTTTTGATGAAATTTTTTGGATAACCATTCTTTTTGAAGACCGTTTGAAGGTACTTTTCTTCCATTCTTTTCAACTCTGGAGTGCTACAATGTGTTTGAACTCTTTTAAACAATGTCTGCACACAGTTTCGTTTGTAAGTAGGATTATTGCTAGTATAGTTGAGTATTTGATCTGTGTGCGTTGATTTTCTATATACTTGTGTCTCTTAATCTCCTGTGTTGGTTCTCCTGATTAAGATATCTAAAAATGGGATTTTGTTATCTAATTCTTCTTCTCTTGTGAATTTGATGTCTTCAAATATGTTGTTTATTAATTTATGAGTATATTCTAAATCACTTCTCTTAATTATTACAAATGCATTTTCTTCTTTTTATTTCCTTGAATCTCGAGTCGAAAATACATAGATTGAAGCTTTGAAGTCTCAGTAACAACAGTATTGCTTTTACAGTGTGGGGTTACTAAATACACTTTCTGCTTTTCCTTATTCTCGAGTTTACTACTGCGTAGTGAAATAGATGAGTTCCGGGATCGCATCGACGGGAAATCCAATCCCGATTTCCTACATTTACTAATAACCAGTTCATTTCACTTGACGATCTATCCCGTGTTTATATCAATTTTAAAACCTTTTTAAAAAACGGGATACAGTAAAATAATTTGTGAATTAGGAGTCACTTTTATCTTCTATGAAATCGTTCTTGCAGGGCAGATCTAACATCATAGAAATTGAAAATATTTGCCATCATAGGATTTTAATGTTATCGAACAATAGCAGCTTGTTATGACGAATAGTGTAGATTAGCAGATGTATAAATTTTAAAGAAACAAGCGATTTCTTTTAATTACTAATGCATTGTTGTTTAAAATCCATTTGTACATTAATTCTTTTAAAAATGCTTTCAACGAAAGTATTCATTATTATGTCTTAATTACCTAGTTATATACATATTATATATGTGTATATATATTAGTAAATTGAATATTCCCATAATTTATTCAGAACAAAATATTTAGAGCGAACAACTGTTTTCAATAAATTCTTCTTCAGGCTCTACAATTATAAATCCATTAATTTAATCATACATATATATATATATTTTCGTAGTTAAATGTCAAGTGGCAAAGCAAATTAATGCCATATATAGAATAATTCATAGGATGGATAGAACTTGAAAAAGGTGTGCAATTATAAGATTAGTAGACAAATCGAATAAAATAAAAACGTTACATAGCATAGTGTGAAATTTAATAGCATAGAATTTAACGTTGTAAAAAAGAGAATTGATTTAGAATGACAAGTGGAACAAGTGAAATAATACCGGGGACAGTTCGAAGTGAGAGTAGTAATAGTAAAAATTGACGTAATAAAGGAACAGTATACAAATTGAAAGAGACAAAATGAAGAAATGAAAAATTGGTAGAGCTAAAATATGATTGGGGATTACCATACGTTAGCACAGAGGGATTAAGACCATGAAAGTTGGAGGGGTTGAACGAACTTTTTCTGTACACAGAGATCTGGCTTTTCTGTTTCGATAGCCAAAGCTTCAGCGATACAGATGAGTCGGGTACGTTGGGATTTGGGTAAATTACTCTGCCTTGTAGATAACTTTGAAGGCAGAGGTTATAGAGATAGGGTGATCATTATCAACCAGATGTTCAATGATCGCACTTCTTATTGCTCCACTTCCACCCTTCCGTAACCATGCAGGATAGTGTTTTTGTACCCTCTTGGACAAAACTCGTGTCGAACGACCGATATACCTAGCTCCACACGAGCAGGTGAATTGATAAACACACATAGAGTTGGTCAACAGCGGGATCTTGTCCTTCAGGTTATTGAACAATAATGGTCGACTAGTAAAGGCTATTCTCAGGGATGCAGCAGGGAATGTTCTTTTCAGGGACTGTGATATCCTTCGTTTCATGATATCGGAAGCTAAGTCCCCTTTGAATTCCAAGCTCATGTAAAGTATCCTCTTGGGTACGGTTGATAAGTCACGTTTTTTAGGATTTGAATGCATATTCTTATCTACAAAACGTGGTGGAAATCCATTTTCTATTAGGATTTTCTTCAAGATGTATAACTCATCTTCCACAGTATCAGGGCCACATATGCGCGGAATACGAGTGGCAAGCGACCGGATCAGGTTTCGTTTTCGACCAATGGGTACCCAGCTATAGAAATTTGTCAGTTTACCATTCCATGACAGCTTACGATAAATCAATCTTTTCAGAGTTCCATCGGTCCCCCTTGATAAGTTCATATCGAGGAAATGAATACTAGACTCGTTCTCCATTTCGAGTGTGAATTTTGTCGCCGGATGGCAACCATTAAATACATCTAATATGTTATTCAAGTTACAATCACTATTACAAATAATAAAGGTGTCATCTACATACCTTTTATACATTTGAAAGCTTTGGATTATAGGCTTCAGCTGATCATTTTCTAGACTGGACATATATATATATATATACGGTTCATTAGAAATTATATCCGGTCAGGGAATTACATCAAAGATGTGAATACATGAAAGAATAATAGTAGTATGAAATGCAATTAAAATATTTTCGATTATAATCACAGTTCAAGGTCAAGTGACAAAACAATTAGTCTCATATATAAAATAATGCATAAGGCGTATGAATTTTGGAAAGGGGTGCATAATAATAGGATTAGTAGGCTAATATAAAATGTTACATAACATGGTGTTAAATTTTAGAAGATAGAATTCAATATTGTAAAAACATTTTGGATTTAGAATGACAAGTGGGACAAGCGGAAACAATTCAAAGTGAGAATAGTAATAATAATAATCGTAGTAATGAGGGAAAGGTACATAGATTAACTAAATAAACAAAATAAGTAGATAACCGTTTATCCCTTCTTTGGTACACAAAGGTCTGGCTTAAAGTCATGAATTGCCAAGGCCTCCGCTGTCTTTAAAAGTCTACAACGAAGAAAACGTGGCAAGTTATTACGGATTCGATAGATGATATTCAAATTATGTTCAGGATTGGTAGAGTGACAGGAGTCGATCAGGTGTTCTAGAATAGAGCTTCGCACACCCTTCCTTTCGCTCTTGTAAAACCATGCTGGAATATGTTCTCGTATCTGTGTGGAAATATCAATACATATAATTTTCAATGTGTATGTATTGATCATGGTATATTTTGTTTATCTCTCTTCTACTATTTTCTTTCTACTCGGAATCTATTTTGGATGGGGGGAGGAGGAAAAAAAGCAGTTTTTTATATATAACTACAAAGAAAATAGAATTTTATAGTTTATTTATTTAAGCCAGTTTTTTTGTCATTACAGAAGCTTAGATAAGGGAGAAGGAAAATTGTAGATAAGGCATAATAGTGGGTGGAAAAGGAAATATTTATTAATTAGAAGATTCAGTATCTGGGTTTATTCTGCGTGTGTGTGTGTACTATTTTTGGTGTGTGTGTTGGGGAGGGGGGAATAAAATGATTGACTTAATTAACTAAAGTTGAAATATTTCCACCATCACCTGTTTGTTACCTGATATGTTAATACTTTCAGATAAAACTGATTATCTAGATTATAGGGTTTTTGTAGGGATTAATTTTATCATAGATTTTGTCACAAAGTAACACTAGTTAGAGATCATCAAAAACCATGGAGCATTCATTATTGAACAAAACTGTTTCGTTCTGGTTTTGGGACTTCTCAACAGTACGCACCCACAATCCTATCATGAAAAGAACTGAGGACCTTCGGGTTATGATAAAATTGTTGCT